GGGGGGGGGGGGGGGGGGGGGGGGGAGGGGGGGGGGGGGGGGGGGGGGGGGGGGGGGGGGGGGGGGATAAATCAAAACCAATAAACAATGATTTATTAAAAAACCGCACATAGAAAATCAAACCGCGTAAAATTTGGCAGCAGCTCCAAGTTGTCACCGTACCATATGCAGAGGTGGGAGCGGTGGCAGTAGCTCCAAGCTTTCGCGGCTCAATTACCTTGCACAACAAAAACACTCTGCATTTCATTTCTAATCACATCATTACATATTACGGAGGAGGGAGGGTAACTCCAGTCAGGTGACGGGACATTTGCATATCACATGGAATCGAAGGGCAACTGAGCAAGACGAAGGGGTTTAGCCGGCAGCTTCGTTTCTTTGCCGTTAACACCTTGTTCCTTTTGCAACTACAATCATCCAGGATTAACATGCATACAGTGGGCTTGCGAATCAGTGCATCGAAATCGGACGTGATGCTGAGCACCACTATGCAGATAGACGGTATTGACCTGGAATAACTTGATAATTACAAAATGTGTTTGTCATGTTATTAGGAAAATGCGATGCCCTGGATCATTCAGTTAGGGATTGTGTGAAAAACTGCTCTGCAAAAAAAAAGAAAAAAAGAAAAAAACTGTGTATGTTTTGAGCTGTAATTGAAACTTGTGCATTTTCAGATGGTTCGATAAGTGCTTTCAGTTGATTGTTGATGCAAATGGGATGGCAACGATAAATTTTGAGCATAGCTGGGGTGATGGTGTTGCAATACTTCGCCTCATGGAAGAATCATTCCGTGATGCAAATCGAAATCATTTTGTCGACCCCAAACAGCCTGTTGATCAAACTACAAATCCAGAACAGCATTTTCGACGAATTGGTTAATTTTAGACTGAAAATCGAAGCCAGAATCTCTGTATTCACTATCTGTGAGAAATTGTGGCTCTCGGAAGTACCCCGAGTGGTAGCAAATGCCATTAGAAAGCTTCGGCTGCAGTACTATCAGAGGCCTCTTCTTTCTTGGCGAACCCCCACCCCTCCACCCATTGCCTCCGGTGACACAGGCACCAGTGCTACAAAAGTCTGAGTCTAAAGCTAAAACTAAAGAAAATTCTCTTCATCCTTGTCCCTTCCCCTCCCCCC